ACTAGATGCTGAAACAAGTTGCACTGATGCGAGCTGTGAGCTAGTTTGGTGCTGTGCATTCACACTTAATGGTTTTCTCTGGTGCAGTTCTGTCATCGTGCTTGCAGTTCCTAAGTAACCATAGCAGAGCTCTAGAAATAACTATACTCACTATCTGACCATTGTTTAAAACATTTGAATGCCAAGTGGAATTTTAGCTTGTATTTTTTGGTCACATCGAGCTCATATAGTTCTTTTCAGTATTCATCACCGAATCTAAAAGTTATGGCTCAAAATGATAATTTTGAAATAATTTGGTAATAATCTCTTAGACTCTGGTGCTATTGATCAACAAAACAATCCAAGCTGCAGAAAACAGCTTGGAAATAAAACCCTCTGTGTAAACTTGACACATTTTTGTGTTTTGTTTTTTTTTCCAACTCAAAGATCAGGGTGGAATACTCTCTACATTTGTAGGTATAGCATTCTGTTGCATTTTGCTCAAGTACTTGCAATACTAATTTTTAGCATTTGTTTAATAAAATTTGATGAAAATTCATCTGTTATTCTTCATGTACTGCAAGAGGCACTTGAGCACATGGTGATGATATGGAATTATTTTGGGTAACAAAGATGAAGAGCAACTACAAATTCTGCAGAAAAGCCTCAGAATGTAGTGTGAGTGGATGATAAGAAGGTAGATTAAATTCCATGTATGCAAGTGTAATGGGATGCACACAGAAGGAAACAAGATGAACTTTGCATGAGCTGTTGTCATTCAGGAACAAGACATTGGAGTTACAATAGCTACTTTTGTGACAACATCAGCTCAGCTCTCAGTGGTGGTCAAAAATAGAACTGAATGTTCGGAATTCGTAGAAAAGGATAGCAAGCAACAAAGAGAACGTCCTATTGCTTCTGTATGAGATTTAATGCTATATAGACCATAACATGCCTAGGCCTAAAATGCTGTTTGCAGTTCTGATTCCTCTTGTCTCAAAAAGAATATAATGGAAGTGGTAAGAATACAATAAAGTGGTGGCAAGGTGACCTGCTCTATGAAATCACTTCTCCATGTGAACTATATAAATTAAGCAAGGCCTCTCCACATAAAAAAAGACTAGGAAGACAGAAAATTGAGATTCAAAGAATTGTATGAGATCTGGAGGAAGCAAATGAGTGACTAGTCACTGTGTCTTATGATACAATGACAATTGAAACTAGGTGGGAAGATGCTCAAAACAAAAGGAAGTCTGTCTTTTCAAAACATACCTCAGCTGTGGCATTCCTCACTCTAGGATACTCTGGATCCATGAAGAGAGTGATGGAATAAATTATGGAAACGTAAGGCTATGAAGGATGTATAAGCGTACTAAAATCCTGTATCACTGGACATCTGTAGGTCATAAATGACTGATGGGCAGCAGTATTTTTGCCTTGTTAAGCTTTTTCTCAAGTACTTGATATGGGTGACCACCAGAAACAGGATGCTTAGGCTAGATGTAATACCAGCTTTTACACTAAAGAATCTGAGTGCTCTGAGTGGAGGGGCTATCTGATATTGCTTGGGTGGATTTCAGGCATAGTACTGAGCAAACATTCTATTACTTGATTGACACAATGAAGGGTGCCATATTTTTGCCTTTTCCCTTTTCTTTATTCTTTGCTTTTTTTGTACCTTACTGTTTTTCCTCATCTGCTTGCTTTTAATCTCTGCTTCTCTTTTGTTTCTTTTTCTTTCATACCAAACAATCCCCTAGCCCTAAACTCATAATAGAACTAAGCACCCATGTTAATGAGTATACTCTGTGAAGAATTTCTAGCTTTCCTTCTTTGTTCTTGGCTTTCTGTTGTGGAGCTGAGCTGAGTTTAGCTGTGAGTCTGCAATCTTCCAGCTATCAGACAGGATCAGAAGATGCCATAGGGGGAGATTTGTAGAGATATAATTCTTGTTAATGGTGTCCTCTGTTACTACTATCAGAAGAACTTGCAGTATGTAGCAAGCTTGTTCACCCAGTGTTTAGAGATCAGTTTAAAAAGTGGTTCCAAAACCACGGATGAGAGAGGAAGATGCATCAGCCAAGATGCTACAATGACCATAATTCTGGAGTTAAATCCACTTGGAGACTAGTCACGAGTGGTGTTCCCCAGGGCTTGGTATTGGGGCCAGACCTCTTTAATATCTTTATCAATGATCTGGACAAGAAGATTGAGTGCACCCTCAGTGATTTTCCAGATGACACCAAATTAGGTGGGAGTATTGACCGGCTGGAGGGTAGGGAGGTGTTGCAGAGGGATCTGGACAGGCTACATCAGTGGGCCGAGGCCAATGGTATGAAGTTCAACAAGGCCAACTGCCGAGTCCTGCACTTGGGTCACACCAACCCTATGCAGCGCTACAGGCTTGGGGCAGAGTGGCTGGAGAGCCAGCCGGCAGGAAAGGACTTGAGTGTGTTGGTCGACTGTTGGCTGAACATGAGCCAGCAGTGTGCCCAGGTGGCCAAGAAGGCCAACAGCATCCTGGCCTCTATCAGGGTCCAGAGAAGGGCAATGACACTGGTGAGGGGTCTGGAGCACAAGTCTTATGAGGAGAGGCTGAGGGAGCTGGGGTTGTTCAGCCTGGAGAAAAGGAGGCTGAGGGGAGACCTTATGGCTCTCTACAACTTCCTGAAAGGAGGTTGTAGCGAGGTGAGGGTCGGTCTCTTCTCCCAAGTCACACGCAGTAGGACAAGAGGAAATGGCCTCAAGTTGCACCAGGGGAGGTTCAGATTGGATATTAGGAAAAATTTTTTCACTGAAAGGGTTATCCAGCATTGGAACAGGCTGCCCAGGGAAGTGGTTGAGGCACCATCCCTCACAGTATTTAAAAGACAGGTAGACATAATGCTTAGAGATATAATTTAGTGATTTTTTTTTTTGTGTTAGGTTGATGGTTGGACTAGATGATATGAAAGGCCCCTTCCAACCTAGACAATTCTATGATTCTAAATAATCAAAAGGACTTCTGTAAAAGACTTTGAATGTTTTTGAAACGAGACATGAGACAAGTTAGAACATTTCCTTTTAGCTCCCGATGACCCACAACAGTTTGAGCACACAGGCCATCAGTCCTTCTTCATTTATGCTTCCTTCCTTGAGGCCATTGCTATTGATTTTAAAATAAGCAGGGTCTGGTATCATCAAACCCAGCTGTACACATGCTGAGTGATTGCTGTGACATAACAAATTACATTTTCCACAGGCTTTAGTCAAGTGTGTTTTCATTTATAATCTTACCAGAAAAAAACAATCAGTAGGACTTATTCATTCCTTCAGCACTTTAATTTCAGTTACAGGGAAGGGAGTTGTAAGAAAAAGAAGAAAATAAATACCAAGAAAAAACATATGTTTGTCAGGTTATTAATTTCTGAGAAACCAAATGCACCCTCAAGGATACTCTAATTAGATGCATTTAGACACTCCATTCCTCGGTCCTGGCAGTGTTGTGGGGTTCTCAGATCTCTATATATGACCATAATATCTGAATACCCATACCTTTTTCTCCACTGGATTTGAAGCATTTGTCTGCAATAGCCTCCCCAGAGAATCATGGTGTGTAACTTTCTATCAAATAGAAGGGCTGTTATCAATTTTTTTGATATAATAGTAACACCCATTGGTAGATCCAAACGAAACTGGAGTCCTATTGTGCTAACCACTGAGTAAATGCACAGACAGATAAACTCTTCTGCAGTTTCCTAAGGTGCGTTATTTATGGCTGACAATGAAGGGTCAGAAGTAAACAGACTTATTGTGCTCTTAAATAGATAAAAAACCTATACTCTTGATGTTGCATAGTTATCAAACATAGGATATATGTTAGTATCTGTATTTTGGGATGAGTGATCTGAATTTGAGAACTGAAAGGAAAGCTATCATTTAAAATGAGAAGACACAATTCTGGTTTTCTTTCATGGTCTCAACTAACAAATCCAAGGAGTATTTTGCCACCCTCTAAGTCTTTCCTTGCTGAGTTCTTCAGTCATATTCACCACACAGACTGTGCATTTGAATTCTTTTTTTGTGCAGTTCTTTGTAAAGAGTTCCAAGCAGAATGTGCTTGATTCAGTCTTAAAGGGTACTTTTTCATGCTGTGTCACTTCTAAGACTTGCAGTACATTGCAAGATGTCACTAAATACAGCAGGAACTTTAAGCTTTATTTATTTGCAATATCTATTAGTTTTCCTCTAATCGCGACTCTCATTGGTGTGCAAGAAAATGTAGGCATTCCATTTCCTTAAAAGGCTTTTGATTGTATCAAGCTAGAAATTATATTACCCATTCTTGCTCCCAGTAAAGTCAGAAAAATCTTTGCCAAGGATTTACTGTTGACCAGAACTTCAAAATGTTTACAGATGCTCTTACTGCATCTAGTGAGGAAGAAATATCCCATTGAGTCAGCCAAGTGGGAGATTCTTCCTGACAATCTGCTGTAAAGAATGTCCAGACATTCCTCCATGCCTGCTGACCCTGGGAATATCAACCATTAAACATTGGGTAGAAGTGTTTGGAAATTATGTTAATCTTGCCATTTCGTCAGCTGTTGTGAAATAAAATTATACGAACAGCAGTTTTCTATCCTTTCACATTGCTTTTGGTCATAGCAGCAGAATGAAAGCATTTATCACCATGAAGAACTTTTCCAATTCATATGCTTTTTGCCTCAAACTGTAGAACATCTCTCCAGTCTCCTCTCTAGAAGAAAAAAACTAACATGAATAGTTTAGAAAACCAGTCTTTTTCTCAGACCAAACCTGAGTTCCTACACTGAACTCCCTGAACCACTAAAAAGGCGACAAAATGGACCATCTGATATGTCTTTCGGAGCTGCTCTGTTCCTCCAAGAGAGGTGACTTACTGACACCACTTCTTTTTAAAAGGAAGAGTATCTAAATGTGGCTAACCCATAGAAATACCTAGGCCTTGTTGCTCCTCCTTTTACAATAGGGCTTCACAAATCAGAAGAGGGAAAGTCGGGTGAATTAAATAAACTTTCAGAGAGCAAAGATGATTATAGAACATATTTATTTGCTGTTTTACATTAGACTTTGGGTATATATGCAAATATTTGCTTTGTTGCTCTAATTTGAGAAAACTTATATATCTAATTGCAAAAAACCCACAACAAAGAAGTTGCTTTATGGAAATACAATGCCAGGATTAATAAAAGCTTCAGATTTTATCCTGGTTGCCTAAAATGATGATTAAGCTGTCAGTCAATCTCTAATAGTCTTTGAAATAACTGAACAGTCCCATCTGTGCAGCAGAGTACGTTTTTGACCCCTGCCAGCCTCTTAGAGGCAGTGTGCATGGTAGCTAGTGTTCAGCAGTAGTCCACCAGTCAAAGAGCCAGCAGGCACTATTGAGCTCCAGCCTGGTCACCATTCTTCTACCCTGCCCAGCTGACCAACCAGGCTAGGGGTTAGGCTGGGAGGGCAGGAGGCCAGAGGACATGGGGAAAGCAGCAAGAACTTGAGGGATGGAGGAGCATTGTTCACACATTTCCCAGCATATGGAAAGCAGGAGGACCTGGGGGTTTCACTATTCAGCTATAAGATGCAGCCTTGGGAAAGCAGGCTTCAGTAGATCTTTTCACAGAGCTGCTTGTTTCCACGTGCAGCTGCTATAACACTGCATTTGCTTCTGTCTCATGGAGAAATCACTATGTAGAACTCTCCTGGAACTTGATGTTAATGACTATGTGTCATTATTTTTTTTCTGTATGATTTATCATGCTACAACCAGAAACATTGACAATGTTGAGTTACTCTTTGCTTTCCTCCTGTGTGTATACACTTTGGAAAAAAAGTCTCTTCCCTTGTGCTAGTTATCCACTTTTATTAAGTGCTCAAAATGAATGTCTTTGGGAAGATTTTTTCTTCAGAAAGGTCCTTAACTTTAAAACTAGTTCCTATCTTGTGGTCCAAGTTTGTGTCTTTAGGGCATAATGCATAGCCTGTTTTTGTGAAAAGTCAAGAATGTTGGTAGGCATGGAGGCTTTGGGTTGCAATTTTTTCTCCTTTTTTCTTGAGATGATTAAAGTTTTTTTCCACTTGTCGACTGAGTCCTATTATTAACAGTCTCCTTTTGGTCGTAGAAGGAATTGATTATTAGAATAAAAAAGATAGCGTTGGCTATGTAATCCTATGTATTTTTTCCTTTACTCACTTGTCTTTTAAATTAGAAACTCTGTCCACAGCTGCCAAACTCAATTGAAATCTAACATTTTTATGCAAATTATTTCATGAACAATTTTGTCATGCTACGACGACTTTTAAAATTCTAGACTTTAATGTCTTTGTAAACATATGGCTGATGAAAGAACCAACAGCAAACAGCCTTATTTTGTTTATATAGCACCATCAGCGCGTACCCCACCCCACCTCGCAGGCCCTCAGCTTCTGCTCTGAATTGATGTTCATTAGAGATAAGAGGTACTTCAAGGCGTGTGGACGTTACAGTCTTGGTCTCCTTTTGGTATCTTCTGGTAGTGTTTATAGCATGATGGTGGATTTACACGCTTAACATTGGTTTCTGTTATCTTCCTCTAACCTGATCTCTTATGAATACCCAAGTTTTATTACATAGTAAAAATCCTTAGTAATCTAAGTGAAACTGGGTCTAACTGCAAAAAGAAAAAAGTGATTCTTGCTCTTTGATAGTACATCTGGACATCCCTCCTCTTCCAAAGTGTTTTGGAATGAGGCTTATTTTCTGAAACTTTACACATCTTGTTAAGCTCCCAACTGTCTTATTTCCTACATAAACCCTCTTGACAGTTTTTTCTAGCTTATTGTGTTCACTGTGAGTCTTGGAGAGTGAAAGGGCAGAGGGTGAGGGAGATCTTGGTCACATAAATATTCTGTCTGCGTTTAACTAAAGGGGTAAATGAGCTCTCATTAAAGACAGTCAGTGAGGCTCTTCATAGGAACACCCTTTTCTGATTAGCCTTTTTTTGTTCATTTCAATTTAATTTACATGCATTTTTTAGTGGATCTGAGATATGCTCAAAGCAAACCAAGAATGTTCACACAGGAGTTTGCTCTAATTTAGCTAAATCACTTCTTAAAAGTGACCTGGGGGTTGGCCTACTTGGAGAATTTACTATAAAATTCTTGTGCGCAGACAACTCCACCATCACTACACCATGCCGTATGCCTCACTGCCGTGTGCACTTTCCTGGGAAAACTTGATTTAGAGCTCCTAATGCTGGATCAGTGTCACAGAAATGTTGGCCAAGTATTAGCACTACACAGTCAGTTAAGATTTCTTCTAAGGCTTGTGATGGTCTAATTCTATGAAGGCATGAGTTACGCCAAGTATCTTCTCTACTCAAAAAGGCCAGCATAAAAGCCTCAAGTCTATATGAGGTCTATGTCTTATGCTTTAGACCATTTGGCAGTGATAAGGTCATACATATGTGCTCTTTGTCCAAATTCCACTTGTACAGCTGGGTGATGTAGTAACACAGGAATCCGATGGTTATGGACTTGCAAACAGAGAGAAGAAACTAATAGATTTCTAATATATAGCCTGGCTTACTTTAAGGAGGTGTCTTGGGACTAGCAACCAAAAAACTAAAACTTAAGTTAGTATATACAAGAAAGTTGTGTGAGGCAGCAGAATACTTTATCATCCAAAGTAGAGGGAAAAACATGCTAATATTTTTATTATGTATTGATTTTAACATCTGTGAATCTAGATACAAATGTAATAGGGTCATGTCTTAGGTTTGTAATTTTGCATCATTTCAGTCCAAAATCTGATGTATTTAAGACACCAGAGTTATTAATATTTCCTATTGTTTCTGCTCCTCAAACTTTTTGACTGGGTTTCTCCAAGGTATTCTTCATTCTCACTTGTATCTTCTTCTTCATTTTGAATGTGTCAGTTAAAGGAAGTGGCTGAAAGATAGAAAAACACACACACACACAAAAAATTGTTTGACTGTGGGTATTAATTGTAAAATATTTTTTTTTCCTGGAGGAGATATGAAGGTGAATCAGGAAATGGATGGCTTTTTCAGATCACATGAATCAGTACCCCAGAATTCATCATGTTCACCAAATATCTGACTACTTTTAGAAACTTGAAGTTAGATAGCCCTTATTTTCAGCTCATATAACAATTTCTTTAACTGCCTTATCTGTCAGAGACTGTAATGAAAAGAAAGAGGTAATTACTAAAAATCAGCTCAGAGATTTATAAATGGAAGTGCACATTTATTTATATTATATAGTTGTGTCGAAAATATCACCTAAACATTCATAAAATTAAACCATTTTGTTTATAGAGAGCCTAAATCATACAAATACCATGAGAAATACTACTTTATTCTCTCTTTGATCACAAATGGTAAATATAAACTCATCAGAAGAACATCTAGCTCTCAAGAGCCAAGTAATTTAGAATCTCATCTCGCTGTTCCTACTGCATAGATATTACAGATAGTAGTCAGTGTAACCTTTAAATACAGCACATAATGCGAGACAATAATTTGACAGAAAACAGGAGAGAGTTTGTGACTGACATTTATTTCCCTGTGATTTAAAGCAAGTATTGTAATGGTGTCTTTTGCTAAGACAATTAAAATCTTGCTCAGTCTGAACTTGTCTTGTGCCTGCTACTGGGACAGGCACTACTGGGGATACACAGCTACAGCCTTGCATGTCCTGCTTTTTAACAGGATACTCCTCTACCAGAACCATCTGAGGTACAGATGACATTCAAATGAGGATGACATTCAAATATGGCAGAGTCATGGTGATCCAGCCTTGGAAGATGACTTTGCTCAATGCAGGTGAGAATGCTGAGGACTCACACAACTCAAACGCAGCAGACCATATACTTTCATGAATCTCAGTGGGCAAGAAGGAAGAAACAGTGATGTAGAATAGGTCTCTCAGCAAGGTCACATAAGCAGTGTGGATTCAAGATCCCAGACTGCACAAACTCTCTGTTCTTTACCACTGGTTCAAGAAAGGGAGCTTGTTCACATGCACCATGCTCCTGGCTGGTCTGCTCTGGAAAGTTTCTGGTCATCAGGAGGGTTTCTCCTGAGTAACAGATGATGTGGTTGGAAAAACAAAAGCAGGCAATTAACTGGAAGATTTCAAAGTTTTTCCCTGCATGTTTCTCATGAATTAAACAAAAATAACTGATGTTTTCAATGGAGTGAAAAAAGCAAATTGCAATGGAAATAAAGTCTTTGAACTCTGTCATTGTGAAGCAAGAGAGGCCTTTTCCCCGTGATGGAAGCATAGATCAAGGCTCGGTTTTACTGAAGCTAACTCCTCCCTCCTTTTTCTTTTTCCTTTCTTTTTCCTTTTAACCTAACTTAAACTTTGAGCTTACAGTATCTGACTTTGTTTTTCTAAATGATGAAAGGCAGACATACTATCCAAGGTGCTTTTGACGGGAAACGTGAAGACAGGCCTTCCCTTATTCAATGGCTTTCCTACCCAAACAGATGGAAATCCACCCCCTTCCCTGCTTTCTAACACTCCTTATATCCTGCCACCACAGGGAGGAGCTGAAATCTGGCTTCCCTCCAAACTGGCCAAAAGCCTTGAAGGTGCTGAGCAGCCTTTCCTCTTCCAACTGCAGCACCTTCCCGCTTTCACATGCTGCCAACCCTCAGCGTGCTTGGCTTTATTTTGTAGGAAGGAGGGATCAAGAATCAGAATAATGACAGGAAAATACAGGCCAAAGGCAGAGGAGGTCCGTACTGGAAGGAAGGCTGGATGGAACTGGGACTGGATCCTCTGAGGGGTTTTTTCCTTTAAATCAGATAGTAGAGCTTCTCCTGCTTCTTTCTCCTCTACCCTCAGCATAACACTTCTGGATTATCTTAGGATATCCGTATTTATTTTGGTTATAGTAACTCATAGAGGCTTAGCCTGGGATGGAGACACCACTGTGCAAGGTACTTGTACAGACCCCCAAGACCCTCAGCCAGTACTTGCAGGAGTGTATCTGGGAATCGCTTTGCCTAAAATTGCTCTTCTCACTTGCTCAACTAATCAGATTTAACTCTGCACTTAGATGTAGCACAGAGTAACATGTAACATTAAATAATGTTACATTTGTCTAGCTTTATTTCAAACATGGTTAATCTCGGCCCAGTTTCATACATTTTTGCCCTTCTCAAAATAAAATAAAATGAAACAGAATTAATCATTGACAGGATTATTGTTCTTCCATGAGATTGGTAGTTAACTATAAAGCACATGACTTAAAACCTCTGGGGATGATACAAATAAAGTATGACTTCAGTGGAATTTTGCTTAGGATGTACTGTACATCATTAATTCAGTATCATAGAAAGCTATAAAAGTCTATCTTTTTTATTTTAATTTTTTACATATGTACCCATTGTTTCATAGCCAAACTGCAGAGGAATTGTTAGGGGCTAAAATAGTACGTCACTCGAGGTGCTAAAATTTTTATGTTTTCTTTACTGGCAGTTGGTTTTGCACACACAGTGCTTACTTTTCATAGATAAAGTATAGATACTTGGGGTGGTTGTTTGTTTTTTTTTTTTTACCAACAGCTGGAAAAATAAGTATACCTCCTCTTTAAAAAGAAAGTCTAATAGGTGGAGATACATACAAAGCATGGAACTTATTGATGTGCACAGATGCATCTTAAAAATAGTCCAAATAAGTTAAAGGGTGTATATGTGAATCATCCTATATCTGTAATTATTTTAATGGCAATTTTTAGGTGTAAAATGGATTCTTCTACATTCTATACAAGTATTTTCTGGAGATCTGGAGATAAGGCAATTTCACAGGAAAGTGATCGTGCATAAATATGCATTACATTAGTGTCTTAGAAAACTGTATTGTTATAAATAAGGAAACATCCTCGACTGTTAGGGTTACATGACTGTAATGGAAAAAAAAAAGTTTGGCCTTTAGTATTTTCTTTTGACGTTTGGTTGAGGTTTTTTTTTCTTTTTTTTCCTAATACCAAGACACAATCAAGACAGTAAGAATGTTCCAAATTCCGGAGCTTCATTTGTAATGATAACTTCAAACTTTAATGAAAGTTTCTCCTTGAACAAGTTTCTTTTATAACATAGCCAAAGTCCCATTCTCCCTTGAGCTGGATGTTTCAGGCAATTTGGATTTGTAACATTTTGGCTTGCAGATAAGGTTTGATTCTAGTTGTTTTAATTAAGTATATTTTTATAGGATTACTCTAGCATGGATCAATTCCACGGTTTTGTTTGTTTTAATAAACTCTCAGGGCTTTTTAGTCGACTGCAAACAACGCAAGTCAGTTTCTGCTGGGGGCTGTAGTAGAACCGCGCAAACGCTGCCATGAAGGAAAAATAAATAAATAAATAGAAAACTTTGATGGAATGCATTACAATACATGTACAAACCGAAATAACCTCCCGGTGTAACGCAGATGGGCTGGCTAAACACAAAAGCACGCGTCTAAAACACCATCGGGGGGGAAATACAAACGCACGTACCTGGGGAAGATGCTTGCGCGCCTCGGCCGCCAGCCGCGCAGTGCCACGTCTCACCGCCCCGCTCACGCCGCGGGACCTTTATAGGGAACTCTCCCAGGGCCTAAAAATAAACTTTCGGGGCTGACACGTCGATCCGTGCCGGGGAGGGGAGGGGGGCGGAGAGGGACTGGCCGCAGGCTTACTACGTGGTCGCAAAAACGCCAGCGCCGCGCTCCCCCGCGCCCAGCCGCGCAGCGCAGGGGCTGGCCGGTTGCCCGACCATCGCAGCGGGACGGGGACGTGCGGGGACGGGGGTCTGGCTCGCAGGGTCCCGGCGTGTGCGGGGCGGCGCGCAGCCTCCGCGCAGGCGGGCGCTGCCGTTCCCCTGCCGCC